AGAATGATCAATATATCTAAAATTTTGACATCTGACAATAAAAATAATACACAGATTTGCATCTGTGTGAAATTTGCAAAATAAACAAATTCTGTCTTCTAGTATTTTTAAACTTCAGTTTCAGAAATAAAATACATTTCAAACTCTTGAAGTGATTTGGTATTTATTCACATGAACTATGTAATATTAGATTCTGTACTAACTGGTTAATATACATTTTTACTATTTTTTAGATTTACATGCTTTGTATGTATTTGTGAAATATGTATGCCTTCACAAAATTTAAAGTTCCAAATTTACTAGTTTTTAGTTTATTGTTTTATAAAAGAATGTCCTTCATTTTGTTTCCTTTTTTCTCTAATTAAAAATCTATATAATTTTTTACCTTTATTGAAGTATTATATAATTGAAAAATAAATATTGTATATATTTGAGATACATGCTTCCACAACTCTGTGATATTCTCCCCAAATATCAATAATACAGTCTAGTCCTAAGAAAACATCAGATAAATCCAAACTGAGAAAGATGCTACAAAATACCCCGCTGGTGCTCCTCTAGAGGATCAAAGTTATGAAAGACAAGGAAAGAATTGGAAACGGTCACAGATTAGAAGTGACTAGGGAGGCATCATAACTAAATGCAATGACAGATCCTGGATTGAGTCCTAGAACAGCAGCAAAAAAGCATTAGTGAAACCCTGGTGAAATCCAAGTATAATCTGTATTGGAGGGAATACCACTTTACTTAAGATAGTATTTTCATTTGGACAAATGTACCAGGTTATGTAAAATGTTAATATTAGAGGAAGCTAGGTAAAAGGTATGAGAACCCTATCTTTCCAACTACCTTTTCAGCTTTTCTCTAAATCTAAAATTTTTCCAAAATAAAAAGTTTATTTATGAAAATAAAAACAAACTTCCACCAAAATTTTTATTGAAGAAGTTGGACACTTAAATGATGGTACCTTTTTAGCTAATCAAAATCCTGTTTTAGAAAACAAAATTATGAAATAAGGTTTAAAAAATGTACAGTAACAAAAACCAAACACAAACTATATACAGTATTATCCATATGTGTATCTGTATACATACATAAAGATTCTTTATATGCAATTTAAAATAATCATAAATAGTGTATTATCATTGGTTATTTCAGGAAAAAAATGAAATAATGCCTGTTCAATTTTTTTTCTTTAAACCTTTTTGTTTCTTTCAGATCCCCTATAAAAGTAACTGAAAAAATTTTATAGGGAAGCGATATTAAAAGTAACTCTTGAATACTTATTTGTTGGTATGCTATACTCAAATACTTTTTAATTTTTCAGATAAATAGACTACAGTTTCACATTATATATTCTTACTTTTATAAGGGCCTTTTATGAAGATTAATAAAACATTTTAATTAACTAAAACATGAAGTTTCCCTGTACTATAAATATTATATCACCCCAAACTCAAATTATTAGTGTACAATTTGGACCATGACTAAATGAAATGAAATTCTCCCTCTCTCCCTCCCACTCTATTTATTCTTCTCCCTTCCTCCCTCAGATATATAGATAGATAGAGCTATCTATAGCTATCTATATAGAGATAGATCTATCTATAGCTATCTATATCTATATCTGAGGTATGTATCTATATATAAAGATATATCTATATCTATACATAAAGATATATCTATCTATATCTTTAAATACAGATATATATGAATTATTCCATACCTTAGATAGTTGGCTAGATATTTAGGTAAATATGTAAAATGTAGGATATGCACCAATTAAGTACCCATTAACACTGGTGACCTTTTGTGGTTGGGATTCACTTTCTACTTTCTATATTTCTGTATTGTTTAATTTCTTTTGAGCAATAACATAGTTTGTAATAAAGTATATAGCAAAGTTATCTTTTAATATTAAAATATTAAATAAACTTAAAATTTTAATATTAAAATCTTTATATGGTAAACACTTTTTCAAATTATCTTATTCAAAGTTAGAAAGTGAAGACTAAGGAACAATGAAATGTTTTTGAAAAAGCCCTTTCTACCATGATGATTTGATGAACTGGGCATATTACCAGCTTGCTGAGCTATTGTTAGGAACAAAATTGTGGAAACACTATGATTTTGCATTCGCTTTTTGACTGGCCGTTATTGTTCAGATTGCTTAAACAGTTCAACCATACATATTTAATCACTGCATAGAAAACTTAATTCTAGGGAGTGATAAGCAATCAGGATAATGGAAGAAAAACGTGGCTTGTCCCCAAATAAGCACAATGCGTTATTAGGTATCAAATGAAATTTTAATCTATTTTTGTAGGAAACAGAGCTAAACTGTGATGAATGTTCTTTACATTATTGTAGAATATCCCAGACTTTTTAAAAAGTACATGGTATGTGTTAAAGTGTAAATATCATAGATTATTCCTAGAAATTTTATAATTTTCAAGCCAGCTCTCAGCTTATATCCACAAGAGGACATGCTGATATTTTGGAAGCATTTAACCCATTCATAGAAAACAACTTTTAATTTTGTTTTAGATAGATGGCTAGATAGATGGGAAAATATGTTGAAACTTTTTGTTTTTCTCTGTGGAGAATCTACCTTACAGAGCATTTTGTTTCCCAACTGACCCTGACTACTTACCATTTGTAAAGTGAGACTTGGTCTACATGAATAGCTTTCCTTCCTGTTTTTATTAATATCTTAGGATTGTCTGAAAAAAATAAGCCATCTTCAACCTTTCTGTCACACTTTCTCATTGTTCTAAAAGTAAGACAGAAATGCATTAACATTTGCATAAATCAGTATTCTGTACCTAGAATTAAATGTGTTTTGATTTAGAAGAAAGTATAGAGGAGGTGATTCTTGTTCCCTGAGTACAAGCTCGGGGAACATTTACTTCCTGAGAGATGAATTAGAAATATGTTATGTCAATTAAAATATGCTGAAGGTGTTTAAAACAATGATGTGTCTATTATTTAACTGTCACTGATAGGAAATTGACTGCAAAACTACTGTCTAGAGTTCAGAATTTACTCTCATCTGTGTTTCTTTTATTCACTTTTCAAGACAAAAAGTATCTATCAACTACTGGATTATAAGTTCAACCTGGAATCTGAAAATCAAATTCCTTTTTTTTCTCTCCTTTATTTCTCATTGCAGATGATAAAGATACTGCCATTGAAATTCAGCTGTGGCAGTATATGTGATTAAGCTAAAGTCTAATTGGCTTTGCAGTGTTAGCAGAAGCCAAAATTTAACAGTTGATTTTTTTCCCTCGTATTAAAATAAACCTCTGTGATTCACAGTCTCAGAGAACAGAATTCTGTTGATTAAGAAAGTCTTTTTATGGGCAATAAAGAGCTGATTATAAGAATTAAAACTTAAAGTTTAAAGTCATATTTTTTCTGAATGTTTTATAATGTAACATTGTACAAACTTATTTAAAAGCATAAATATTTGAGATACTAGCATAAATATTTTCAAAGTATGTGAAAGCCATCAATGATTTGAAAGGCAAGCCTAGATTTCATTTTAAGTAATATTCAAAGTGACTGTATTCACAATTCACTTTTTAGAATGAGGTAAACTCAACACAAACAAAGACTGGATGTGTTTCTGGCAGCTCTACATCTCTCTGTGGCCACCACAGGGATTTATTTGGTGGTATGCTCCACTTACAAGGCAAACCAAAGTGTTTCTGGTGGTGATTGAAGTAAACGAGTGCCAGAGAACTAGGACACGAAATGAGAAAATATTTCTCTGACAGGCTTTAAACTGGCTATTATTTTTCTCCAATGTCTCCCTCTGGAGTTCTTTAACCAGACCTTGCCCAAAACCTAGAGGCTAGCTTTCTCCAGGCTTGTAATTCTAAAGTTATTAGAGCTGTTCCATTTGACTACGCTTTCTATGATTTAAAAATGAAAAGCTTATTGAAATAGTCTATTGAAAATATTTTTAACAATGAAAATTTGATCATGGTAACGAAGCTTCTAGTTGAACTCAATATTTGATCTGAATGGTTACATTGTATTTTTGAATCATTCCATGAATTGAGAATGCATTGACCAATAGTGCCTAATAAATAATATCATCTCATTTTTATTTCTGGTGTGAAATAAATAGTAGTTATAAAATGGATCCTCACAATCACATATTTCGGATCATAGTGACAAAATTTCACATTTTTTTAAAAAAAAGATTACATACTTTCCTCATTTTAATATATTCTCCTAAAACTAAAATTAGAGCTGCTAGAGTCATAGTATATGCTGGTTATTTGTTCTTTAAACTCATATATGGATAAGTGGAGATATCCGTGTCCAATGTAGAGAAAAAACAAACAATGGTGCCCAATTCTCCATTCCAAATGCAAGGAAGTAATAAGAAATTTGAGACAGACTGATTCCTAAGAATAAATGTTAAGAAGTTTCTGAAAATTAAGTTGGTTGTAAACTCTGAATACTACAACAAGGTTTACTAAAATTGTGGTGAAATATAAAAACCATTAGGAAAAAAAAATGAGAATAGCATAAAAGATCACGTTCCAAGTGCCTTCATTGTTATATCAAAGAAAGCAACTTTTTGTATAAAATATATACTTAAAATCATGAGGAATTATCATTAAGGAATAAAACATTTAAGTCTCATAATCTGTTAGAGATTTAAAAATTTTACTATTTTGGGCTAAATGCTAGATTCCTAAATTAAGATTTGAAGCATATAACCCATTGAATTTATATTACTAATTTTGTAATTAAAGTAAAATGTTCAACTGATAGAGCTTTTATGAGCATTTTTATCAATACTCTCCATAAAACCTCCTTTAAAAAAAAACAGTAAATCAAAAGAAGGAATAGAATAAAAACAAAGGACTGTCAATTTTTCAAGAAAAACACTTATTTAATTCTCATTTATTCTTTGCAGACACCTGTTGGAAGTGGATGGTAACATAGGTGACTAAACTAATTTTTTTGTTTGTTTGTTTTAGGGGCTGATGTTATCAACTTTGATGGCCATGTTGTGTTACCATATAGATTCAGAAACAAGAAGATGAAAACACTGAAAGATGTCATTGCCTTGAAATTTAAGACGTCTGAAAGCGAAGGAGTAATCTTGCACGGAGAAGGACAGCAAGGAGATTACATTACCTTGGAACTGAAAAAAGCCAAGCTGGTCCTCAGTTTAAACTTAGGTATGTTCTGATTCTCAGTACTATTCTTTCCATTATGGATGTTCCCATTAGGAAAACGTTCATGTTGCTCAATTCTTTAAAATGTAAATTATAAAAAGAGCTCATATTATGTTGTCAATTCATTCTTAATGTATAACCGTTGGTACATAATGAAATACCTATTCATTCAAAAAATATTTATTAAACACCTCTGCTATACAAGGTGCTATACTAGTCTTTGGCCTATAGCAGGGAACAAGTAGACAAGATCCTTAAGCTCATTAAGTTCATGACCTAATGGAGGTATCAGACAATATAGCATTTATTATTCTTATTTTAAAACAACTAAGCAAACATGAGTGACTTCAAATAATAAATATGAACCAGTTGAGAAGATTAATATCATAAAGGGAATAGGTTAATATGTCCTGTTCAAAGGCAACGGGGCCAATATTGGAAAGTGTAGTGACGAAAGCCTGCTCTGAGGAGAAAATATTTAAGATGAGATCTGAGTGATGAAAAGGAATTAGCCATGAAAACATGAGAGAAATGGGATTACATAGGAAGAGAACATTGAAGACAAAAAGCATGCTCAAGAACCAGGAAGGATGACACTGTGCATAAATGCTGTGGGTTGTTAAGACAAAAGATGAAATCCAAGAGGTGGAAATTGCCCAAATCCTGTGGGATCCTGCATGGCATGCCAAATTGTTTAGATATTATTTTTAAGAATAGGAAGCTGTTGGAAGGCATTAAACTGTCTGGCTTTATCATCTTATTTTTAACAAGGGCATTGAGACTTCAAGAATTACTTGTGTAGATATGAGAGTCGCAGCAGAACTTCTGCACAGTTTGGGTGAGAGAAAGTACTGCTTGTATGAGGTGGTTATCAGGGGAGATATAGAGAAATATTTCAATTAAGGAAATTATTTTAGTGGTACATTCAGCATGACTTATGACGGGTTGGATATAGCATAAGAAGAAAAGAGTAGAAATAAAGAATGAGCCCTAGGATTTGGGTTTCAGCACCAAATGGACATTAGTGTCATTTTCAGAAATAGAGAAGACTTTAGGAGGAACTCTAGAGATCAGTTTGGACATGGATAATTCTGCTTATTAAACATCTAAGTAGAACTTTCTATTATGGAAGTTGAGAAACAAGACTGAGAGAAGACTAAAATGGAGACTAAGTAGTCGTGAATAGTGAGTAGGAGAAAATGAAGAAAGTGTAGTATCACAGAAATCAAGGACACAAAAGTGGTTGTCAACTGTTGAATTCCTCTAAATGTCACGTAAGATGAAGATGGAGAGGCAAATATTGGGCTTAGTAGCATGGAGGTTACTGTTAATTTCCATTCAGTGGAATGGAAAAGACAAATTTTCTAGGTAAAGAAAGAATGAAAGGCATAAGTAAATATTTTGACTACAGTTAACTAGAGAGAAGGAACACAGAGAAATGAAATGTTGGCCGCTGAAAGATCTGAATTTAAAGAAGTTATTGTTTTATGTGGGGTTGTTGTTGTTTTTATTTTTTATTTTTTTTTAATTTATTAACTTATTTTTGAGTCAGAGTCTCACCCTGTCACCCAGGCTGGAGTTCAGTGGCATGATCTCTGCTCACTGCCACCTCCACCTCCTGGGTTCAAGTGATTCTCCTGCCTCAGCCTCCTGAGTAGCTAGGATTACATGCTCCCCACACCATGCCTGGCTAATTTTTGTATTTTTAGTAGAGAGAGGGTTTCACCATGTTGGCCAGGTTGGTTTCGAACTCCTGACCTCAAATGATCTGCCTGCCTTGACCTCCCAAAGTGCTGAGATTACAAGCATGAGCCACCATTCCTGAACCTGTTGTTGTTTTTTAATGGACAATAACAATGTAGGTCTGTATGTTGATGATGTAGCTAGGATTTACTTAAAGCTAAAGTGAAGATCTGCAATATTGGTACTGGCATTCAAAATTATAGTTTTGGCAGAGTAATGGTACCTCTTTCTCTTTTTTTTAAATTTAAGTTCATGGGTGCACGTGAAGGATGTGCAACTTTGTTACGTAGGTAAACGTGTTCCGTGATGGTTGTCTGCACAGATCATCCCATCACCTAGGTATTAAGGCCAGCATCCATTAGCTATTCTTCCTGATGCTCTCCTTCCTCCCCACCCAACCCTCTGACAGGCCCCACTGTGTGTTTTTCCTCCCCATGTGTTTATGTGTTCTCATCATTCAGCTCTCACTTATAAGTGAGAACATGTGGTATTTGGCTTTCTGTTCCTACATTAGTTTGCTGAGGACAATAGCCTCCAGCTCCATCCATGTCCTACAAAGGACAAGATCTCATTTCCTTTTATGGCTGCATAGTATTCCATGGTGTATATGTGCCACATTTTCTTTGTCCAGTTTATCATTGATGGGCATTTAGGTTGATTTCATGACTTTGCTATTGTGAATAGTGCTGCAATGGACATATGTGTGCATGTATCTTTATAATAGAATGACTTATATTCTTTTGGGTTTTATACTCAGTAATGGAATTGCTGGATCAAATGGTATTTCTGCCTCTAGATCTTCGAGGAGTCTTCACACTGTCCTCCACAATGATTGAACTAATTTACCCTCCCACCATCAGCATAAAAGCTTTCCTTTTTCTCTGCAGCTTCACCAGTATCTGTTGTTTTTTGACTTTTTAATAATAATCATTTTGAGATGATATCTCATTGCAGTTTTGATTTGCATTTCTCTAATGATCAGGGATGTAGAGCTTTTTATTCCTTGCTTGTTGGCCACATGCATATCTTTTTTTGAAAACTGTCTGTTCATGTACTTTGCCCACATTTTAATGGGGTTGTTTGTTTTTATCTTGTAAATTTGTTTAAGTTCCTTGTAGAAGCTGCATATTAGACCTTTGTCAGATGGATAGATTGCAAAACTTGTTTCCTATTCTGTAGTTTGTCTGTTCACTCTGATGATAGTTTCTTTTACTGTGCAGAAGCTCTTTAGTTTAATTATATCCCATTTGTCAATTTTTGCTTTTGTTGCAATTGCTTTTGGTATCTCCATCATGAAATCTTTGCCTTTGCCCATGTCCTGAATGGTATTGCCTAGATTTTCCTCTACGGTTTTTATAATTTTTGGTTTTATGTTTAAGTCTTTAATTCAGCTTCAGTTGATTTTGTATATGGTGTAAGGAAGGGGTCCAGTTTCAGTTTTCTGCATATGACTAGCCAGTTCCCCCATCTCCATTTATTCAATGAGAAATCCTTTCCCAATTGTTTATTTATGTCAGGTTTGTTGAAGATCAGATGGTTGTAGGTGTATGGTCTTATTTCTGAGTTCTATACTCTGTCCCATTGGTGTAGGTGTCTGTTCACACAAGTACCATGCTGTTTTTGTTACTGTGGCCTTGCAGTATAGTTTGAAGTTGGGTAGTGTGATGCCTCCAGCTTTGTTCTTTTTACTTAGGATTGTGTTGGCCATTAGGCCCTTTTTGGGTTTCATGTAAATTTTAAAATAGTTTTTTAAAAATTCTTTGAAGAATGTCAGTGGTAGTTTTATGGGAATAGCATTGAATCTATGTATTGTTTTGGGCAGTATGGCCATTTTCATGATGTTGATTATTCCTATCTTCCTATCCATGAGCATGGAATGTTTTTCCATTTATTTATGTCATCTCTGATTTCTTTGAGCAGAGGTTTGTAGCTTTTGACAAGGTCCTTCACTTCCCTTGTTAGCTGTGTCCTAGGTATTTTATGTTATTTTCAGTAATCGTGAAGGGTGGTTCATTCGTAATTTGACTCTCTGATTGCTTGTTGTTGGTTTATAGGAATGCTTATGATTTTTGCACATTGATTTTGTATCCTGAGACTTTGCTGATGTTGCATATCAGCTTAAGAATCTTTTTGGCTAAGATGATGAAGTTTTCTAGGTATAGGATCATGACATCTGCAAAGATAATCTGATTTCCTCTCTTCCTATTTGAATACCCTTTATTTCTTTCTCTTCACTGATAGCCCTGGTCAGGATAGCCAATACTATGTTGAATAGTCACGGTGAGAGAGGGCATCCTTGTCTTGTGCCAGTTTTCAAGGGGAATGCTTCCAGCTTTTGCCTATTCAGTATGATACTAGCTGTGGGTTTGTCATAGATGACTCTTATTATTTTGAGGTATATTCCTTCAAAACCTAGTTAACTGAGAGTGTTTAATATGAAGGGATGTTAAATTTTATTGAAGTACTTTTCTGCATCTACTGAGATAATCATGTGGTTTTTGTCTTTATATCTATTATGTGATTAATCACATTTACTGATTTGTGTATACTGAACCAACCTTGCATCTCAGGGATGAAGCCGACTTGATTGCAGCAGATACACTTTTTGATGTGCTGCTGGATTCAGTTTGCCAGTACTTTGCTGAGGATTTTTGCATAGATGTTCATCAAAAATATTGGCGTGAAGTTTTTGTTGTTGTTGTTGTTGTTGTTGTGTCTCTGCCAGGTTTTGGCCTCATAGAATGTGTTAGAGAGGAGTCCTTCCTTTTAAATTTTTTGGAATAGTTTAAATAGGAATGGTATCAGCTCTTCTTTGGACCTCTAGTAGAACTCAGCTGTGAGTCTGTCTGGTCCTAGGCTCTTTTGGTTTATTTACTATGAAATTACTGCCTCATTTTCTGAAGTCATTATTGGTCTGGCTTAGGGAATCAATTTCTTTCTGATGTAGTCTTGGGAGGGTACATGTGTCCAGAAATCTATCCATTTCTTCTCGATTTTCTAGTTCATGTGCATAGAGGTGTTTATAGTATTTTCTGATGGTACAGAGAATAATATAAAAATTATAGAGACCTATAAACATATTTCTGTAGGGAAATACAAATGTATTTCTGTGGGGTCAGTGGTGATGCCCCCTTGTCACTTCTGGTGTGTTTATTTGAAACTTCTCTCTTTTCGTCTTTATTAGTCTAGCTAATGGTCTATCTATTTTATTAATTATTTCAAAAAAACAGTGTATTAGTCCATTCTCACACTGCTGTAAA